GCTGCAGGAACCACAAAGATGTGCCGACTGTCCCTGCCCTTGGGAAGCTTACACTCTAATAATGAAAACGATGTACATATTATACAATGGAGAGCAGCAGCCAGTTTTTCTGGATGGAGTATATTCCAAACAAAATGTTTCTATTGTTTTTTTTTAATTTGAATTAAGTCTAAAATACTTCTCCAATCAGGTAAGACTTCAAAAACCATCTCCTTTCAATACCGTTAGTTTTAGATGCCAGCTCCATTTATTTTGTTAAAATATCATATTGAAGCATATCATTCAAAGCCAAGCAAAAGGTTAGCACAGGCATTGGGTAAACATAAAGTATATACACAATATATTTCTCTGACACAGTCTTGTTTCTGTAGAAATAGATTTGATATTCACTTTCTTTTCAGACACTGAAGAACAAGTCTGAGCCATTGCTGTGGATATAGGATATAGGATATCTATATTAGTACCAAAAAAAAAGTAAAAAAAAAGAACCTCCTAAAATCTAACAAAACATAAAACTGACAATGCCTCAGAGCTACCATTACCTTCAACACTGTCCAATGTGACCATTTTCTACATCTTTTTCCTTACTGACTGCATCACCTAGGGGCTAGGGAAACGCCTCTTTAGCTTTAATGTTCATGGGAGATTTCGAGCCTTCTACTCAATCTGTCTCCAGTGTTTCAGTTAGACCACCTCTCTTTTCGTATTTCAGTATGAAAGGCCCAGCCTGGACTGATTAAATCAAACAAGAAAACTCACTGCCATGAGTTGCTGTTGACTCGATGACGACCCTATAGGACAGGGAGGAACTAACCCCCCCTGCGAGAATCCGATAATGTAACTCTACGGGAATAGAAAGCCTCATCTTGGTTTCAGAAAAGACTGGTGGTTTCAAACTGCTGGCCCTGCAGTTAGCAGCCCAACATGTAACCATTATGCCACCGGGGCTCCTTAAATGAATAAACAGACTCTCAAAATTCTTGGACATGTTGGTAAATATACACTGTTGCTCTAATCAGTTGCCCAAAGTGGGTGGTCCTGTTCGGGGTAAGGGAAGTGGTGTTGGCATGATCCAGGGGGCTGCAAAACCAGATACCTACACTTTACCTGAAGAGCTATCGTACAAATGGTTTCACTGCCAGCAGGGTGGCTAATTTTCTTTTTTCCCCCTGAAGGGGGGCACAAAAAGCCAAGGAGGTTTGGGGACCTATGCTCTACATAACTTCCTGACTAGACCCCATATTTGAGGTCCCTTCTGTAGAGTGTGACCGTAACTCAAAGAAAACGGAGGACATGAAAATCGGAACCAACCTATCAGATGGAGGGACTAGAAATGTCCCTAAGTCTAAAGGTTAACCTCCTTAAAGAGGCAGCTGTAAGAATCCTTTCCCTATAAACCCAGCTCCTGAATCCCAGGAGCAGCAGCACCGATTCTTGAAGAAAAATCGATGCATTTGGACTGTGGTGCTGGCAAAGGATACTGAGAAGTACCAGGGACTGCCGAAAGAAGAGACAATTCTGTCTGGGAAGACGGACAGCCAGAATACTCCTTAAAAGGAAGGATGGCAAAACCAGCTCATGTCCTTCGGACATGTTATCAGGAGAGACTGGGCCCTGGAGAAGGACATCATGCTTGGTGGAGGGGAGGGGGAAAGGCCCTCAGCCAGAAGGAATAATTGTGGGGATGGCACGGCTGGGGGCCGTACTTCATTCTGTTTCATTCAGGGTTGCTATGGGTCAGAAATGACTTGATCGCACCTAATAACAACACTGATTCCCACAGCAATTTTTCTGACTCAGCCTGAAGGGAGGCTCCATCCTATCCTAGAAGACAGTCTAGGGCAGCAGTTCTCAACCTGTGGGTCGTGACCCCTTTTGGGGTGGAACGACTTTTTCACAGGGGCCACCCAATTTTTAACAGCAGCAAAATTTGTCATGAAGAAGCAACGAAAATAATTTAATGGTTGGGGGGGTCACCACATGAGGAACTGTACTAAAGGGTCGCGGCACTAGGAAGGTTGAAAAACACTGATCTAGGCTAATAATTCCTGCTGACTTATATCCATCCTACCAGGAAAGTGAGTTCAGTCTTCTGAAAAAGTCTGCTTCACAGGGTAGTGCTGCTATTTTACATAATGAGACCCAAATCCAATGCCAAGTTGATTCTGACTCACAGTGACCCCATAGAACAGAGCAGAACTAAGTGCTCTATAGGGTTTCCAAGGCTATAAACCTTGACCCGAAGCAGCCAGCCCCATCTTTCTCCCACCGAGCAACTAGTGTGTGCCAACCACTGACCTTGTGGCTAGCAGTCAAGCACCTACCTACTGCGCCACCAGAGCAGCTCCGTGATGAAGAAGCAACTCTATCTTCTGAGCTTGGCTTAATGGCAGTTAAGTTTTACGTACTCTGGATTTAGGTTAGATTGCACTTATGCTAACTGGCACGGAGCAGATTTGAGGGCCACAAACTTCTTTGAGCTGCAAGAAAGATCAGTTTCCAGTTTAAAAACTTGGAAAGCTGTGAGAGCCGTGGCCGAAACGCCACCAGAGGCTGCCTCCCCCATCCCACCCCGCCCCGCCGGTTTCATTAATAACCACAACAAAAACCAATTCACGTCAACCAGTTAGGTCCATACTCGATGGGATTTTCATTCTGACAAGCAAGTCCCTAAGACGTGCCCTGGTCTCGCTAGAGCTGCCAACCACTACCCCTACACCCACCAGCAGAGGAAGAGCAGGAGGGCGTGCAGTCAGAGGCTGACAGAAGCCGCAGGGGCTCACAGGAAACAGATCAGTTTGTTTGCCAGGCTATTTATTTGCTGCCCAATGTCTAAAAAGAAAAGAAAGGCAGAACATACTTTTCCCCTTAAAAAAAACAACAGTAGGGGCTGCTGACTCTGAATAGAATTCATTTAGTTGAGCTTCCACCATAATTTTTGCTTATCAAAATAATTCATTGGCTTGGGGGATGGGGGTGAGGAATGGCAAGGAGCTAAAATGGATCACTTCCTATACTGCAACTACCCAGCCAGTTCCTGAGCACCCTGGCAAGGAAAATTGGAAGCGTTTGGAGGGAAACCACCAGATACAACTTACAAGTAGCGACAAACCAACACCACCACTATGTGGCTTAAGACATGATTTAGTGTTTAGCCATTTCATCAGTCATCTGTGTTTCTCTCAAACGGGAAATGTTAGCTTTGAATGTACCTCTTCGGGAAGAGCGAGCCAGGGGCAGAAACCAATCCCTGTGGACATGCCCTATGGAAATCAATCAGGGGTGCCAAATCCTGGTCCTGGTCCAGGAACTGCAGCTCTCCTCCTGCCTCCTAGCCCACTGGCGGCAGCCCCAGGAGCAGCTGCGCTGTGAGAGCAGCACACTCTTTCTCCTGACAGGTGCCAGTCAGCATCCTCTCCCTTCTGCCTTGGCAGATACGATGGTGATTACAATAGAATATATTGTAAGGCAATCATTTGCCCTTTGGCATAGTTTTAACCTAATTAACCTCTTAAAACTTTCGGCTTGGTCCAACCCACCAGCTATACAGCATTAACGTTCTCAAAAACTTCTCAGAGGGAGTAGCAGAAAAATGTCACACTCAACCACACGTTTCACCTGTGGTTCTAATAACTTTTGACACTGAAAAATAATTGGTGGTTTTGGCACATGTAATAGTAGGTAGAGACTGCTTGAAGTCTGGGTGGTGGACACATAAGGATTTCAGAATGAATATCAAGCATAACAAGCTATCAATTTCTTATCTAGAATAATAGGAACAAATTAACCCCAGGCATAGAAAATGTGATACATGTGGATATCAGACTCCCAAAATGCAACAGTGTTGTATCTTAAAAGGTCTGATTTTATCATCTTTGCCTCTGCACTTTAAATGCAGGGCAGCAACATCACTTGTCTCCTCCATTCCTGAAACATTTTATTTCAGCTGAGATGGAAATAAACGTGAGACTCACTAAACAAATCCTGCACATTATGGAGGGTGTGGTAAACTTAAACTAGACACCATTTAGTCTCCAGCTTCCTGATGGAAGACTCCCACTTTGGTATGGTTTCCCATCCCAAGCTGCCCCTTGGAAGTATCACTACTCTACTGTCATGTTTGCTGCTGCTGCTGCTGCTGCTGCTGCTGCAGACGCCACTGCAAACACAAACTTAGTGCCATTTGAGTTGCTTCTGACTCACAGCGACCCTATAAACCACAGCAACACTGCCCCTGCGGGCTGGGTTTCCAGGCTGTCAACTTCATGGGAGTCCAAAGCCCTATCTTTGTCCCAGGCTGCTGTGCAAACTCACACTCTCCTCTCGCCCTCACAGCAAGGAGGGAGCCTCTGCGGACCAGGGGGAAAGGAACGGTGAGGAAGGAACGGTGAGGAAAGCCTGTGGAGAACTTTTCACTGAGGCAGGTGTTGGCTAGATTGTAGCGTCAAGAGTGCCGATGACCCAGAGAATCCATGCTCTGGACTACCACTCTCACAGAGTGGATGCCGTTTGTCATGTTTATTCCTCTAGAAACAAAGTACTTCAGGAGAGCCTTCTGTACCTAACTTCTAACTGCTAACTGACCCTTCACAAAAATGTCTAATGGGTGTAAATAACTCGATGGAAGTTCTCAGTGGCAGCAGCTTTGAATCCTGAATTAGGAGTACTTTTCCTACTAACTCTCACAAGGAACCAAGAAGAAACAAAGTATATGCCAATGGTTATTCTTAGGAAAGCAATCATTCCCTGACAGGGCCTCCATTTTCACGGCCACACTTATTGTAAAGTGCCTGTAAGTTGCTGCAGGCACGGACTCCGACCACACAACCCTCTGCGTTGTGATTCACGACTGCGGAGCTGTTCACACTCTTTCTTGAAGCCCCATTTAACCCAAAGACTGGATAAATACTATTCCTGAAACTGCCACAAAACGAGAAAAGAGAAGACTGGCAACTACACATTGAACTCAGGACTCTAAACAAAACACATTTCAAAGCAGGTTGCTGGGAAGTGCCTACAAGTACCTGTTACGGGCTCTGGTTTCTTTATTAATGGCGGTGGGAAGAATACAAGTGCAGCATGATAGAAACAGAGGCATGTTACAGTGCTTTGCAGCTATCAAGATGTTGTTTCTAAAAGGAGGACCATTTCCTTCACTACCAAGGTTACAAGTTAGAGTCAGACAAGAACAAGGAACAGTAGGAAATATGATTTAAGAAATTCACATTGTATCAACCCCGTCCAACTTTCCAGAGGTATGCACCAGTTCAAGATGTATGCATCACAGTCCTGTTAATAGCACCAATCCTAGGACATTTAACTTAAAAAAAACCCAAGAAACACTGTAGTCCAGATAGTATACTTTAGGCTTAAAGGGCAATTATCTTCTGACATCTTATTTTCATTGCTCATCTGTATTACAGAAAAATACTTGTGTTACAAACATCAAGGGCCACAGCGGAAGGAAGAAATGAGTGCTCTACATACTTGTAGCGACACAGCTTAAAGGGGTCCGTCTTTCTCCAGAAGTCTCTGGGAAGGGCGTCGTTATACTCCAACACCAGACAGTCAATGAAACGTGCCTGGCAAGGTTGACATTAAAAAATACTAAAAAGTTTTTCATACAAGAGCTGGTTTTTTTTTTTCAAAAGCCTATGTACAAGTATCTCCTCTAGGTGAAATTTTAATAGGAATATGACTCAAGTGAATGAGAATAGTTAACGTACATGTGGAAGAGAGGATCAGGCAATCTCATGACACAGGAACTAATTAAAAACAAGACACAACTAGGAGCATTGAACTGATCATCGGACACATTGATAAAACCAAGTTTTGCCTTTGCTTCAACTTCTTAAAAACAGAAGAGATTCAGTAAAATACTTCCAATATCTTGAAAAACAAGAATTGATGGGGCAGAGATCTTTGTCTGTTGACCGAGAACAAAATACCCGATCCACAGTTGGTTTAGACACATATATCTGTTGGTATACTGAATGTCACATGCCAGAGGATTTAAGTGCTCTGAGCAATAAAGCCATCCCCCCCCAAACCTAAACCCACCAAGCAAGGCCCTTATCCAAAGACCATTCTAGTCTAGAAATGACAGGATATCCTTCTCTGTTCAAGCTTTAGTGAAGACACTTTACAAGCAAGTGTTCCTTATTAGGGAAGAAGTCGGGGCTGGGCTATGTTCGTCTCAAATTACTTCAAAGCTCTGCATTCACACTCATTCTGCAATATCCTTCAGTCCCTGGAGACATGGAGCGAGCACTTCCAAGATGAGTTCCCAGTGTCCTGTTTACAAGCATGAAGAGGGCCTCCCACTTATGAAGGGCGGGCTTACTCCAGGTCGTCCTCTCTTCCACGAGAGGACGTGTTCCACAGCACAGTGCATGTCCTTTCCATCTTCCCAGCACGGACATTAGAAGACAGGAGAGTCACAGAAAGGACAGGGGCTCTGCAGTAGCCGCTTAATCCAGTCAGGATCTGCAAAAGGAAAACAAGTGGTGTCAAGGGTTAGCTTTGGAAAAAGCAATCCAGTGAAATGGGATGAGCTCATGGGCCTGCTGTGTGAAGGGACCAGCACTCTGGTCCTGGTTCTGCAACACAATGGCTACATGTCCCCGAACAGAAACACTTTCTCCTCTGAACGTCAGTTTCCACCACCATAAAAGGAGAGGCCGGACAAAATCTTTGGAATTCCAAAAACTTTGGAATTCTCAGCCTTTTGTGACAAAATAGGAAAGATAAAGGTAATGCAATGAATGTTTCCTAAAGCTCAATTTAATGAATGGACTGTGCTTTACTCTGGTTCTATTATTAAAATATTCTCTTATGAAATCATGTAATAAAAATTTGTTTGAAATGCCACTACTTAAGAGAAATGAAAAGGTGGCAACACTGGGTCACTGCTCCACCTCCCTTTTTAAAACTGAACTGGTTTGTGAGATGCAGAAATCTAAGAACGACTTGCCAAACCCAGTGCACCCTGCTCTTCCCCAAAGCCACATGTGGCTCAACTCAGTCAACTGTAGGGTTTTGGTTCATTTAACTTTCAGTCTTTCCCAGATTTCCTGACTAAATGCTGTCTCAACTCTCAAATGCAGCAGGTGTTAAAACTTCCCAACAGTTAATGAATTATTCAAGAGAAAGAGGAAGGGTACAGGTGAAAATAGCCAAGACCTGGAAGAAGTTTTGAAGTTGAGGATTGAGGACCTAAATATTCATCATACTCTTCCTCTACTGCAGATTGCAACGCCTGTAACCAAAATTTACAAAAGAGCAAAAGGTACCATACCAACTCCTTTGATTCCGAAAACCTCAGCAGGCTGCAACAAAATTATGGATGTTTTACATAGAATGTTTTTTGTTTGAGTTAATTGGGACCACATACTTTCCTAACATGTGGATGCAATTGTGTAGGTTTATGTCTAAGTTGGCTCATTTGATGATTGTGATTTTAATGTGCCTAATACCACAAATGCAACATTTAAATTATTTTATCCCTTAAGGAGATCTGCAATCTTCCAACTAGTTATCTCAAAAACATGTGCTTTGCTACCAGGGCTTTCAAAATTCACTGTCACTGAGTTGATTTCAACTCCTAGCCATCCTACAGAACAAGAGTAGAACTGCCTGTGGCTTTCCAAGGCTGTACCCGTTTCAGAAGTACAGTTTCACCTTTCTCCAGAGAAAGGGCTAGTGGACTCGAATTGCTGACCTTGCTGCCCGAGGTCTAACCCACCGCACCAGCAGGGCTCCCCAGAGCTATTAGGAAGGTGTATACAGAGGAGTGGGGGTGGGGGGTGAGGGTGGGTGGGAGGGGGAGTCTATCATGGCTTCTGAAAGAATGACTCCAAGAGCATATTCTATTTAGCAGAATAGCAAGTGTCTTTGTACATACTCTCACCTCGTTAGGGCGCTTTCATTGAACTGTATCAGCCACCTTAAACAAGGGCTGATGTTTGTTGAATGAATAGTAAGTTTGCAGTGATAGGACATTGGACTGCAGGCACACTTAATCCAGACACTAAACATGCAATAGGGACTCTTCATGATACCTTCCAATGACCAATTAATGTTCAGTCTGTGCTATGGCTTCAAGATAATACTGTATGGAGCAGACCGTGCCTGCTCCCCAGCCCTGACCTGTGCATAAACGAAGCAGAGTGAGCCTGACCCAAGCCATTACTGGAGGCACTGGCACTCTGCCAGCATGCTCAATCGCACCCTCCCCAGGCGGGGGGCACACTCACCTTCTGGCATTGGGTGGCGGGCAATGCTGTCATGGAGCAAACACCGTCTGTAGATCAAACTCTGGCAGGACTGGTAGGTTAAAAAGCACCTGAGAGGAGACAGATTGTATTGTCAAGGGAGAGAGTGCTCAGGGTCTACCCAAACTGAGGGAGCAGCAGGATGGGGGAGGGTAACATCACCACAGACAGTTAATTATTCCCACACCACAGAAGCAAAATGAGCTAGCAAACACACATGGCAAATTCATGGCAAATGAATGGGAAAGTAAAGAGGAAGTAGCTGTGTCTGAGCCCTGGGGGAAGGGCTGAGACTGCTAGGAAAGAATTTAACCTGTAACTAGCTAAGTGCACTTTGAATGCTTGATAGGTTAAAATGAAACCTATCCAAAAGAGAGAGAGAGAGAGAAATGGAACACGTATTATTTCAAGAGAATAGAACCTTGTTCTTGTTAGTGATTTGAAGACAACTAATAGTACACTGGGGGGATAGGATGGGGGAAAGGTAAACATTTAAAAGTATCTTATACAGGAATATTCTATTGCATCCAGAGACCATTCACTGGACACCTACCAAGACTAGGCAAATAAAGACATAGGGAATGGATTCAACTGACAAAAGGTGCACTTGGATGACACAGGGATGGTTTTCCAAAAGAGAACGGTTGTGAGTTGAGCTACTCAAGAGTAGAAAACACAAAGAAGAAGACAGGCGGGGGGAACGATTCCAAGAAGGTTTGCCTAATGAGTAGACTTAGGTTTCCAGAAAAAGCTCCTATCTGAGTGACTGCAAGACCCATTCTCACATAAAGAAGGTACACAGGCGCATTTCAGCACGAACTTTAAACAGCTAAAGTAAAAATAACTGTTCTGAAAGAAGCTATCTGAGGGGCATTAATGGGACGTTATGTTAGGCGCCACTGAGTGGGTTCTGACTCATAGCAACCCTGTGTACAAGCCAACGAGAAACCCTACCCAGTCCAGTAGTGTGGTGTGATACGTAGTGGTGACAGATGCACTCTAGAGCCTGAACGTATGAGTCTCAACTCTGACACCAATTTCCCGTGTGACTTTCGGCAAGCTTTTAATCTCTCTCTGCCCCAGTTTCCTCTGAGAACAGAAATAGTCAATGCCTCTCTGCATTGTTGCTCTAAGAATGCAGGAACTTCACGGGTTTCCTCAGAATAGTGCCTGGCACACTAGCAGCGCTCTCAATACATGTTAGTTGTTTTGGTTTATTATTACAAACCCCAAATCTAAATTCCACTCTTGAGAGCAGACGGCCTCATTTCTCTCTCTCACACAGGCTGGTGGGTTTGAACCACTAACCTTTAGGTTAAGCAGCCCAATGCTTATTCCACAGCATCTCCAGGGCGCCTAAGAAATATCCACACAATGGACGACAGATTATTAAGAACAAAAAACTGCTCACAATATTTTGATAAGAGAGTTGGCAAGCTGTTATATATACCATCTGCAACACAATCCTGTTTCTCTTGAAAATAGAAATTAGTTTAGTCCTCTCTCTCTTCCCTAAACTCCTCAAATTGCTGAGTATCAGTCATGTACCAGACATGGTTCTAGAAAGAGCTGTGAACAGAAATTCCCTGTCTTCACGGAGCTTTCTAGTATAGAGAGGAAAGAGGTTTAAAAAATAGTAGTGCATTAAAAAAAAAAAGGGCATAAAATGGTGGTAACTGCTGAGGAGGAAAAGCAAACAAGGGAGAGAGGTGTGGCCTATTGGGAGGATGGGGTGAGCCGAATGCTCTTACTTTAGGTAGTATGGCTGGGGGCAGCCCTACTGACAAAGTAACACGAGGAAGCCACGTGGTCACCTGCACAGAGAGCATGGCCAGCTGAGGGGGTGGCAGTGCAGCCTCCTGAGGTGGCAGTGCCTTGTGAAACTGAGGGACAAGGAGGCCAGATGGGGGAAAGGCCTTGCAGGTCAATGAAAGGACTTTGGCTTTGGCCTCATCCGAAACGGATAGCCAACGGTGGGCACTGAGTAGATGGGTGACTTGAGCAGACAGTCCTAGAAGGACCACGATCACGGTCACAGTTAGACTGAGAGCAGACCCAAGAAGACAAGAAGAGAAGCAAGAATAGTTGCAGACCGCTACAATTATCGAGCAAGAGATAACGGTGTTTGGGACCACAGTGAAAGGTGTGAAAGTGGCGAGTTGGATTCAAATTTGGAATGTTGATTTAACACCCAAATAAAAACACCGAATAGACAATCAGAAACACCAAGTAGGCAATTAGATACATAAGCCTGGTGTGGGGAGAAAGGTTCAGGCTAAAGCGGGTATTTCAAAGTTACCAGTGCCTAAGTGCTATATCCACCAAGGGAGGTAAGGTTGACAGGAGGGAAGGAGATAGCGAGATGCAAGCACTGACTTCAAGAAAGCAGGACCCAGCAAGGTTAACGGAGAAGAGTCAGCGGTCAAAAGAAAGCCAGGAGTCCTGGGTCCTGGAAGCCAGATGATGGCACTGCCTCCAAGAGAAGGGAGGGATTTATCACTTCGGGGCAGTTCAGAGGTCAAGTACGAGAAGGCACACCAAGGTTCCCCCCTTGGAGTGAGACTGAGGGGAGAACTTGACCATTTATTTTACGCACGTTTATATCCCATTAATGTTTCACTTTTTAATAATACATTTTTAATTAGTGTTATTTCAGAGGAAAACCATATAGGCAAAAGCAAGAAGCCCCTATATAGCAAGTAGTAAAAGTGCCCTTTGAGAGCGGCCTGCTCTAGTCATCTGATGCTCGAGGTCCGGCCGGTTTTTATAATTGCAGGTTGTCTCCAGTACCGGGGAGTGGCACATGCTTTAGACAAATAAACACACACAGGGGTGGTGTGTGGGGTACGAAACTGCAAAGACAACAGCAGCAGGCGCCGGTTTAAAATGGCTTACTTACCGGAGCCAAATGTGGCCGTTGGAACAGACAGCCTGTTTTCGGTCTGTGAAGGGCAAGATCTCTTTACACAAGCTGCAGTGCTCGGGGAAAGTCTGCTTGTTCATCTTCTTCGAGATATGTCCAATCAGCACCTGAGGAGACCGAGCGGTCAGCAACACTTAGTGGTGAGGGCGGGGTCCCCGCACTAGCATCAAGGAACGGTGAAATAAAAGTGCCCAACAGTGGAAGGGCGAGATCACAAAAGCTGCACCTCTCACCTGACAAGCTGATTAAAACGTGGTCCACAACAGCGAGACCCAAACCATTAAAGGAAGGACTATTCTGAAAACCCAAATCTTTCAACTTGCCTCATTTTAGTTGCTTCTGAAACAAGCGTTTCAAGTTCGATTAGAAAACAATGTAGTTATTCTTTATAATGTTTTGAGTTTTAAAAGGAAAAATGTAATTTCTGAATGGAAAATGTTAGATGAAACACTATCAACTTTGTAGGACTGCTGTGGTAAAGTGCCATCAATGCCACCCTCGACTTATGGTGACCCCGGACCTGTGCCATCCCGTCACTGGTTGTCTACTAGACTACTGTGGTCCATGCGGTTTCTCACTGGCCTTTTCTGTGGAAGTAGCTCACCCAACCTTTTTTCCTAGTCTGTGTTGGTCTGGAAGTTCTGCTGAAACAGTCAGGATAGCAACCGGAAAGGCCCAACTGAGACATGCACAGCAGCTGCACGTGGTACAGTGGTCAGGAATGGAGAACTCTACCACTGACTGTCCCCTTGAAGAACTGTACAAATGTCATCTCTTAAGGATGGCTTACAAAGTAAAAAAAGATTCAGGGTTTTAAAAGTACTTTTAATTTCACCTTAAATGGCCCACAGACCCATGACTGATCTAGTATACAGTTTGCTCCAGAGCCTCTCATTCCTGTGGGATGTCAAGAGCCCACGAGTCCACTGTGGGAACGGGGAGGTAGTGATGAGTGGGTGCCCACAAGGCAGAGTTCTCACTCTTGTCTCAGCTTCATTTTTGCTTTTATCAGCTTTAATTAGGATCATAGGACTTTAAAAAAATGCTGACAATTTCATGATTTTGCTGAGAAAACGGTCGCTGGCTGTTAGAGGCACAGGGAAAGCCAACCCTTGATATCCATCTCCTCTTGACAAGATTATGTGCCTATCAACATTTGAACTCACTTGTTTAATATCTTCTGGAGGAATCCTCTGGCCACTCATTAAAATTAATTCATTGGTGAAACTTTAAGCTATAACTTTAAATCCAACTTTCAGGTTTTCACTGTTTAGGCTTAACATGTAAAGTCCCTTACCGCAGGGATTCCCTTACTGCAGGGATGCCCACCCACCCTTCTTTGCTAGACAAGCCATACATCTGTGTAGTGGGCTAAGGACACCGTCTGCCTAGAATTCCCCCAGACAAATTTTACATAAAAGAGGAGTGCTCCTGGTTGTTATCAATAGCCTTTCTGATCACACAAGTCCAACTTTATTCATTTAACTCCAACCGTCTCCATGGGGGTGAAGGCAACTTAGAGAGACAAAGGGATACACTGTATAATCTGTGGTAGTCGCATTGTACAGGTGAGGCAATTAGGGCGAAATGTCTAAAAGGGTTCCTAGAAAAGGCAATAAAGAATAGATGAGAAATGCTGATCTGAGGAGTTCAGAAACAATTTATTACTATGTCAACTCCCTGTGTTAAGCGTTTTTATGGATCTAGATGGATTTTTAAACCTTACCACATATTGTCCTCAAAGAACAATCAGGTTGTTCCTAAGAACTCGGCTGTTAAGAGATGGACAAGGGTATATAATCTTCTCTAAAAGGGCTCTGTGGGAACCTCAGGCTAATGGAGCTCCCCAAGTTCCTGACAATTACAGGAACCCACTACCAACCAACTTTCACACAGATTGTCGAAAGTGTTTTTGTTTATGCCTCATTAACCCTTTCAGTATCCCTGCTAGGTCTTATAAAACACTGTTATCCCAATAACACTGGGAGGCTTTGCACAGTTCGTGGGGGAGCGAGGGTGAAATTCCATTTTACTTTAATTCTATTTACCCTCAATTTTTTGAAGCCCATACTCTTGCAGACTATTTAAGACACAATGAAACAATGTTTAAAAGTTGACTGTTAAGGAAAACAAGTCACTTAAATGAATGGTCCATCTTACGCACTCTTTAAGATTACTGTGACAGCACACACACACTCACACACTCCAACAGGAAGATAGATTTAATTCACAGTCTTCAATGGATATAGGCATACCTCATCTGAGTGTGCTTCTTAACTACCGTGTCGTCCTTGTTCTACAACAAATTGAGGGTTTGCAGCCAGCCTGCGTTGAGCAAGTCTAGTGGCACCACTTTTGCAGCAGCAGCAGCAGCAGCAGCAGCACGTGCTCACTGTCTGGGGACTCTCACACCGTGTCAAACTTCTTCACAATGCTACTACTGCACACTTAAGAAGCTGCAGTATAGAGTACCCATAACTTTCATTGTTGGGAAACATAACAATCCACGTGACTGAATGTATTGTGATTATTTGCTTCAGTGCAGTGGCCTGGATCCGAACCTGCACTATCTCCAAGGTGTGTATGTATGTACTTTGAATAATTTAGCACCTGGTACACGGCTTTTGGGACATAGTTCTTCAGGATTTTAGCAGCTGCTAGCTGAAAAATCTAATGTTCCTTAAGTTGGGGTAAGACTGGCTAAACAAAGTGAAACGGTTTCTTTTCTGTAGCAATTCTCAGAACCTATATCCCGAGAGGCAGAGCCCCTCTAAGAGGAATGTAGAATACATACAGTAATTCCCTCAATAGGGGACTCGTATTGTTCTGAGTTCTATAGAATTCCTTCTGAACAACACTCTAAGGTTATTCTAAGCCTAAACCAAGTTTACATCTAGCTTTTAAAAAGCAAGGCGCGAACAGTAAATTGTTTATATATCCTTCCTGACTATATCCGATTTTCCATTGGAAAACAAAACCCAAAGACACTTGGGTCATCAGGAAGAGACAGGAGCACATGCCTGCCGCCAGGACTGCCTGAGTCCGCATAGCCGAGCTAAGGGCAGCTGCCCCGGGCTCCTCCAGGCCTGGAAAACCTTACACAGCCATCAAGGCCACCTGGTGAAGAACCAAAACACACTGGGGGTGATTAACGTGTCCTCTGCAGGAATCCAGGTTTCCTATTTAGTCTCGTGTACCTCGTGCCAACCAGTTACCTTAAAAAGCGATCATTTAAAAAGCTGAGCTTTCAGAGTTCAGTCTAGGTCAGTTTTCTCTGGAGCACAGTGGGCTTTCCCAGGATTCCTGGACTGTGCTAAGAAACACCTACCCGAGCTGTTCTGTCATCGTACTCTTCATCGGACATCAAGAAGTTACAGAGTCCTCGGGTAGGGATGCTCGTGTTCTCTGTGATCCAGGTGTGCAGGTAGACTTCTCCTAAGACGCGCTTCATGTGTTCCCGCGTCAAGTGCATCTCCACAGCTTCAATCTTCCCTTGGATTTCCAGGAGTTTCTCCTCCATTGGCTCACGGCTCCCAGCGTCGGCGGGCTGGGCAAGGGGGTCATCGGTAGGCTCCTCTCCCTCACCTTCTTTGCTTTTCTCCTGAAGGCTCTGCTTGTTCACCTGTTTCGAAGAAGTGCCTTCTTCTTGCTGTTCATCCTCAGGTGAGTCGAGCAGTAAGATTTTTGAGTCCTCATTGGAGGGCTTCCATAAGGGTTCCGAGGGAATTTTCTGCATCGACTGATATAAGATCCTCAGGAGGAACAGCTTGAACCGCCAAAAATAGGTGGCCCCACTGCTTTCGATCTTTCCTTCCAAAGCTTCGTGTAAAAATTGGGGGATGTGTTTATCTTTTAAAATCTTCCACCGTACTAGATCTATTAAATCCACCTGTTTGAAGAGATTTTGAACGGACGATTCCAGGAGCTGAGCAGCTGCCTCTTCAAAGGTTTTCAAGGTAACGAACTGGACCTGGTAGTTTTTGTTAACGGGGTGGAGGCCATTGACCATGCCCTCGGTGGTAATGACAGCCAGATATGCACCGCAAGGGCTCACTGCTATCCCGTGAGTCCTCACGGAGCCAAACACATCTGCAAGCTTAATCAACTGGTGTTCAAACTTTAATGCAACATCCGTGAATATGGGAATCAACTGCCTCACCTTCCCATCACTGGAACATGTATATACCGTTCCATTCTGTTTGTCTGCAGTCATTGAGACAATGGGCAGCGAATGAAGGCCGGTGACATGGGAATTGTGAACGTTCAGACCTGCTTTGGAAATCAGAAGGAGACACCAAAACACATAGGACCCTCTGGCAGCCACCACTAAACTACAGCTGCACTTCTGGTAAGGATGGTAGAGTGGCACACACTTAATGCTGTGCACAGGCAACTGGTCCATTTCTTTCCACAAGACAACAGGCTGCCTTAGCGTGAAGTAGCCTTTAACTGCTTTGAGATTGACGGGAAGAATTTTCACCGGTCCGAAATCGCTTCCCACAATAAGGCCACTCATTTTCCGATTATTGTGCTCATATTCCCACCAAAACAGAACACTAGGAGAGTTGATCCCTGACTCAATTGTGTTGCAGGAAGAGATGGATTCCTTTCCCACAAACGGCAGCTGGAACTGCCACACAGCAATGTTGCCATTTTCAAAGAGCACGGCCAGGAGCACGCTCCCCACATCACGACACTCGTTGTTATGCTTGACCTGCTGGGTGGTACAGATGCCCGACCACTCCATTCTGACTGGGGTCTGCATGCTGTGCCTCCTCTGAAACTCAGCGAAGTCCGAAAGGTTTCCTTCAGAGGTTTCGGTCTTAGAAAGCCTGTAACTGGTCTCATATAGGCGTTCGCCATAAATCTCAGTCAGGTCCACAAGCTGGACCCACTGTAGCCGGCTGAGGTTCGCCTGGATGGTCAGGCGGTTGTCCATGGTGAGTGCGGCCAACAGGCACCTGCCATTAGCATCACAACCCATGGGCGACCAGCTGGTGTATTTGAATCCTCTCAGTGGCGGCAAAGCCTTCCCTTCAGGATTGAACACCCTATCCAACATGAAAGTCTGACTGACTACAGGGTCTTTAGAGGTGGCAAATTTCTCCTTACACTCAGCAACTTCTTTTTTTGATCCAACCTGAAAATAAGAGATATAGAAAGTATCAGATAATGATTTCAGCTTAGGAGGAGTACATTTATGTTACTTAGGCTGTATAAACAGAGTCACATGAATACAGTTAGCAATTTTGTCTCAATTCTGTCAATTTTCACATTTAAAAGGCCAAGTACAGGTCTAAATACTAAGTGAACAACTACTAGAAAAAATGGTAATTTGTTTCTGGGGTTCAGAATAACGGTTGTCATTATTCATAGCCTGGTTTCCATATTTTTAGAATTGACATGACCAACTAAAACATACAACTTGATCCTGAAGAGTGAACAGAGCATTTGTCTGAGTCAGGTGTTCAAAACTCATGAAAGTAGTTCTCTAGAAAGTAAAAGGAAACAAAGAACTAGGAGGCAAAGGGCATTTATAGAGGTCTAAATACAGGCATGTACATATGTAAATACATTTATATATGACGATGGGGAAATGGATCTATGTACATATATTTATAGGTTTAGTTTTAAGGTAGCAGACAGACATTGAGCCTCTACTCAAGTACTCCCTCAACGCAAGAACACTTTGTTCTAATAACCTGGCATTTTGTGATGCTCACCTTCTGGACACAATCGCTGAAGACAAAATGGGTGCATAAGCAAATGTGGTGAAGAAAGCTGATGGTGCCCAGCTATCAAAAGATATAGCATCTGGGGTCTTAAAGGCTGGAAGATAAACAAGCGGCCATCTGAACAACAACAAAGCCTACATGAAAGAAGCACACTAGCCTGTGTGATCATGAGGTGTCGATAGGACCAGGTATCAAAGACCCAGAACAAAAAATCCTATCATTGTGAATGGGGGTGGGAGTGGTGTTTGTGTGTGGAGTGGAAACCCAAAGCCCATCTGTAGAAAATTGAACTTCTCCTTACAGAAGGGTCTCGGGAAGGAGACAAGCCAGTCAGGGTGCAGTATAGCACCGTTGAAACTTACAGCTTTCCTCTAGATCTTTAATGCTCCCCCAATTCTACCTTACCTCATGACTCCAATTCTACCTTACAAATCCGGCTAGACCAGAGCATGTACATAGGTACAGATAAGAGCTGGAAACACAGGAAATCCAGGACAGATAAAACCCTCAGGACCAATAATGAGAGTAGCAATACCAGAAGGGGAAGGTGTGGGGAGAAAGGGGGAACCAATCACAATGATCTACATATAAGTCCCTCCCAGGGGCACAGACAACAGAAAAGTGGGTGAAGGGAGACATCGGTCAGTGTGAGACATGACAAAATAATAATAATTTATAAATTATCAAGGGTTCATGAGGTGGGGGCGGGGGGTGATGAGAAGCTGATACCAAGGGCTCAAGTAGAAAGAAAATGTTTTCAAAATGATAATGGCAACAAATGTACAAATGTGCTTGACATAATGGATAGATGTATGGATTGTGATGAGTTGTACGAGCCCTCAATAAAATGATTTTTTTAAAGGAAAGTAGTTCTCTATATACAGGTTTGATACATTTAGATATATGGATTTTTATAATATTTTTGCAATACAAATGTCACCTTTAAGTTTGCTCTCTAAATTTAATAACTATGTTCATTTACACATTCATAAAGGTAATTTGTAAACTATGCTGAGCATCCTCTACCTTTTCTACTGTTTCTATAGAATTATTTTAGACTAGACTGAATGCTACATCACATCCATTTTCTCTAATTCCCTGCTTAGAATGCTCTTCCCTCTTATCTAAATCTTATCCATGATAACTTTATGAGGTTTCCTGAGATCATACTAATCTTCAGTTTCTATCTCTCATAGCATATCACCTAGCCTTTTGACAGCAAGCTTTTTAGAAAGACTTTGAAAGGATATATAAACATACAGATGGAGGGAGAGATAAGTGACCAAAAGAAAGTGGCTCAGATAGTTGTGGCTTTTTGGTCAACTTAGGCTTCTCTGGAGAAGCCAGCCTAAGACAAAGGTTAAAGATAAAAAAAAGCAGAGGTCTTTATGTTAAAAGCAGACAGAACAAGGAAGCTTATTATCAAAGTGGAAAGGGTAGAACAAACATGATTAAAAGGGAATTCAAGCATAAAGTATCTATTGCTATAATAAGATGCATTTTAAATTAGTCTAATCCCAAAACCCAGAGGAATTAAACTTCTAGACAGAGAACTTGGGAGATGATGAACTCACAAAACCACCCATTCCATGCCTGGACAAGTGGGGATATATCAGAAAATGAGAGTACAACAAAGAATTTAAAATGTTGCCAAATATACTCAAGACAATACACACACATAAAACATACATGACAAAAATTACAGAATACCAAGCCTGATCGTGAATAATAGTTGATTTGTTAACAAATTAATGATTTAGATAAACATCATTAGAGATGAGCATAGGATAATTAGATTTATTTATGAATAATGTCATCTTATTCTTTTTCTAACATAGCTACATGACAATAAATAAACACACACGATGAAAGCTAGCCATAAAGTTGTGCATCTAAGTGAATCAGATGCCTAACTTCTCCTAAGGTGTGTTTCACAGACCACTACTCTCCAAACTGCCCCTTCAAAGAGTTCTACAGTCAAATATGCTTTAGAAATGCAACACATTATATACATAAATACACACATACACACATAATATATTTTTTCTCCTTAGAGGAGTCAAAATTAGTATTAGCACATTAAGTGACTTGGCCAGGGAGCTACTAAAGTCACTTAAAAGAGCAGTTAAGCAGTTATGCAAGCATCACTTTATAACAGAACTTTTTAGGGCGAGTGTCTTGTTATTCTCCTTAAGAACACTGAAAATAGTTCTTTAGGCAGTATATCTTGATTCTACAAAAGCATTTAAGGTAGTCTCTTGGATATGCTATGGGCAAGTTAGGGAAATATAAACAGAATGTTCAAATTAAATAATGGTATAACCAGCTAGTCTAATAATAAAATAATATTAATCAAAGCCCAGAGCTTTGTTGGGTAGATAAAATTTGGAATGTGAGTAATAAAGCATAGGATAATGATAGGTAATCTGTATTATGATATCAGACAGGCTGGGTTCAGATCCTGGCTCTATTACTTATATACTAGTTCTGTGACTATGAACAAATTATTTAAATCTTCTGGCCCTAATTTCCTCACTTATAAAAAGAGGCTAGTTACCGATACTTCTAGGAAGATTTAAGTAAGCCAACACATGGAAAGCACACATTAATAGGTGTTCAATACATGTTAGCTATGATTATTACAAGGGAGCTTCAAAAGAATTGTGGGAAAATTTCATTATCTTTCAGTTCCATTTTTCCATGAACTTTTTCAAGCCCCCTCATATTATAAATACTCTTTGAGAACAAAGTAAATGTCAATAAGACATTTCAAAAAGTAAGTAAAACACAGGATATAAAATTGCTCACCAAATTCTACAATACTATAAATGAGGCAGTAATCCTTAAAATACACAAAAGGTACTGGTACAACCTAAGGCAAAGTTACAGAATTTGTAACGCAAGTAACAGCACATAATGAAATAAAGACAAGCAATTTGTGTGAACTCTTGGTAGGATGGAGAGCAGCACAGATCTTGACCAAATCTGTATAGCTTTGTGGTAGTCATTTCTAATATATTAGTTGGAATCAACCTACTGAAGCCCCTTCCCCATGCTCCCAATACTCCCACATCACACCAGTTCAATTTAAACAAGCACTCATAAGCTTAAGGTGCATACCACTCACTCAGAGTCCTGTGCCTGGTCATTTAATTAAGCATCTATGATCTATTTCTAGTCGGCTACCGGTACTGACAAATCCCTGGTAATGCAGGGGCAAACACTCGGCTGCTAAACAGAAAGGTTGGTGGTTGAAAGCCACCAGCTGGCTGCTTGCTCTCTGAGAGACAAATGAGGCAATCTGCTTCCACAAATAATGCAAAAAGTCCAAAGCTAAAACCAAAGCCAAACCCTGAGCCATCAGGTTGATTCTGAGGCATAGCCACCCCAAATAGCAGCGGTTCTCAACCTGTGGGTCGTGACCCCTTTGGTGCTTGAACAACCCTTTTCACAGGGTCGCCCAAATCATAACAGTAGCAAAATTACAGTTATGAAGTAGCAATGAAAATACTTTTATGGTTGGGGGGTGAGGGTGGGGTCACCACAACATGCGGAACTGTATTAAAGGGTCCGCGGCATTAGAAAGATTGAGAACCACTGCCATATAGGGTTTCTGAGGTTGTAAATTTTTCCAAGGACAGTCTCATCTTTCTTCCTCAGAGTGGCTGGTGAGTTTGAACCACCAACCATGCAGTTAGTTGTCCAAGAAATCCTATGGGGCAGTTTTCTGCTGTTCCATAGGGTCACTATGCACTGGAAATCAATCTGATGGCAGGGTATGTTCCTAGCAGCGATAGCTCAGCACTTTGTAAGCACTTGACAGACAAAACTCATTGAAGCTATTGGACAGTGTCTGGAGGGAACGGAGGATGATTCCAAAGTTAGGCAGTATTTATTTGTATTATTTTTCTTTCCTTTTTAGATTTTTTATTAAAAGATCATTTTATTGGGGGCTCTTACAACTTTGTAACAACCCATACATCAATTATATCAGGCATATTTGTACGTATGTTGCCATTCTTCTCTAGACATTTACTTTCTATTGAGCCCTTGGTGTCAGCTCTTCCCCCCTACCGCAGTGACCCCTTGATAAATTACTAGTTTCATATCTTACACCAATTGCTGTCTCCTTTCCCCCATGGAGGGTGTTTGTGTATGGTTATGTATCGATCACTGCAATCGGTTCCCCCTTTCTCCCTTCTTATCCCTACCTTTCCCCCTGCCCTTCTGGTATAGCTATTACCATTCCTGTTCCTGGATTCTGTCAAAAAGGTAATATTTTTAAGGCCTTTAAATAAGGAAAAAAAACAGACAAAAGCAAATTCACTACCATCGAGTCAATGTGACTCATAGTGACACCCCCCCCTACCTGCCCCCGTGGGTTTCCTAGACTGTAACTGTTTACAGGAGTAGAAAGCGCAGCCTCACTCCTGCAGAGTTGCTGGTGGTTTCGAACTGGGAATCGAAGCCCAACATGTAACCACTACACCACCAGGGCTCCTTAAATAAATAATACACAGTAAAAATAAGCTACATGTACATTATTAGAATGAAATGGTTTACAACTAGATGATTCACAGAGGCACGGCGGCTTTCTACACCCATAAAGAGCTACAGTCTTGGAAACTCAGAGGGCAGTTCTGCCCTGACTGCTGAGTCAGATGGACTCAATGGCAGCGAATGAGAAGATTCACTAAATAGTCCAATGGAAGAGAAAATGATTTTTCCCAAATATTTTTACTTACATTTCTTACTCAATCCATTATCTCTTCCCTTCCCATACTTCCGCTGTTCAATCCCATCAGGTGGGGCTATATAATTATCAATGCCATCAATACCTCGCCCCACGGCCCATTTCCCATACCCTCAGGGAACTCTTACTCCTGTTACTGTCTCTGAGGGGTCACCTATCCTGACTACTAAGTACTGAGCGATCTTAAATGTGCAAATGAACATACGCAAATCTAACCTCAATGAGGTATATCACGTACAGACTATTATGGTAAGAGATGGAAATCTTACAAAACTAGAGTATGGTTACGTGTTCCATCAGTGCCACACCGCACCCAGGATTTATCTTCCATTACATGAAGTCCTTCTAAGAGGGACTGTGCAGTTGTCTTGCTGGGGGACTTTGGGTCCACTTCCCTTCACATAGATTTGGATGTGTTTTTTGAACTTCTGGTATCTTTTCCCATCGACACTTCATGATCATACATCCTGGTGTGCTTCTTCACACATTCTGGTGTGCGTGCTTCTGGTTTTGTTGCTCCCATTAGATGGCCGCTTGTGACACTTATGCTTAAATCGTTATTCTATTGTTTCACGTTTATATCCTTCATCTACATGTGCTCAGAACAGTAATTTGTACACAGCTGATAATGCTAACTACTGTTTGAACTGGTACATAACTGGATTTTTCTGGGAGAAGTTCAACTCTCCCAGAATCATAGGACAAGTAACAGGTTCACAGGACAAAAGCTTTGAAGGGGTTAAGCACCGATACATCTAGCAGTGCCACACAGTAAAGCTGTGATCTAGATTACAGACTTTTCATCTTTGCCTTCCCAGGATTGTCGAAGGGTACAGCTACCAGAGCACTGACACAGATTTCTTTACAGTTCTCCCACTACACCACAGTTCTATCTCAGAAGCCTTGCAGTACAAGGAATTGCTTGATGTGGCTCTTCTAGTCAGTCTCTAACTCATCAACTTGTAAGGATGGCTCTGGGTAGAGCAAGGTGAATCATATAACTGATAGGGTTATCTGACTCAGCTGTGAGTGCTTGCTAACAGGATTGTGACTGCCATCCTACTGGGTATAAAATGAGCCATCTCAGAAACAGGTAGGGGAGAGCTATCACTACTAGCAAGAGCCAGGAGTAGAGTGCATTCTTTGGGACCCAAGATCCCTGTGAACTTCCTTGACCCCAGACGTAGCTTTGACAAAAGGGCAGAACCAGGAACAGAGCATTGGACTTCCCAATCAAACAAACAAACTCATTGTGCATTCAACTAATACTACAGTCAATCTAAAACCAAACTCACTTTTATCCATTCAATGCAGACTCATAACCTATCCTATAGGACAGGGTAGAATTGCCTCTGTGAGTTTCTAAGACTAACTCTTTATGGGTGTAGAAAGCCCATTTCTCTCATAACCCCCAGAGCACGTAGAACTGAGTGCTTTGGGGCAAGAGCCTGGCTTGTAAACTGGGGTGCCTCAAGGCAATTAATTAGGGGAGTTGGTTTTTCTGACCCTCAGAGATGGAGCTGAGTTCCTTTGGGATGAGACTTACAGTGGCGTGGCATGTCATTTGGGCCTTTATTAGCAGCCCTTAAAGAGCTATGTAACATCACCCAAAGGGCAATGAATTATCAAAGCCATCAGAGTAGTATGCAGGGTGCGGTAGTTACATAATCTGGTGTCAATTTGAGGATTATGAGTGTAGGGGTGGAGTCTAGTCTGTCAATCAAGATATAGCCAATGAGGCCTCTGTGTAGACATGGCCTCCCCCTAAGGATTCTGGGAATTCCTGGATTTCCTCCTTGGAGATGAGACAGACTCACTCTCTCTGGGCTCACTCTCTTGCAAACTCTCTACTGACAAGGCTCACTCCTTGAGACGCTCTACTGACAAGACACATGGCACTACGCTGATAGACCCTGAGCCCTGGGAACTGGAGAAGCCATGTGGAGACCCCTGTCAGCGCTGAGATGCTTACATTGCCACTGGATCCAAAGACTTTCTACCCACTGGCCTGTCATCGTCCTGCACTTGGCGTCATTGCATGTGTTTCGTGAGTCTGAAGAGGACTTTATATATTGTTATCGGACACATGGGCTAGTATCGGATTTATGGGCTAGTATCGGATTTATGGGCTTGGACTGGACTGGGGTGCTGCTTTCTTAATGTACCCTTTATTTTAAATTACCCTTTATATAAAATTCTCTCTCATACACATATGCGTGTTTACAAATTCGTTTCTCTAGTCTACCCAGACTAACACACATGGAAAGTGGAGGCCAGTGGGAGGAATGAATGGTTGGTATCAGAATAAGGCTAAAGAACAACGGCGGAGGGTGCAGGCACATGACTCCTGCTTTGTGGTAAATGCCCCAGAGACACAGAGGAGGTCAGATGTGCCCCCTCATCTCATTCCTCAGGCCTTTCTGAATTGCTGGGACAATTTAACATTCATTCACTAGGCAGTCCTAGGCTACTAAGTCAGCCACTTGATTCTGTGATGTGCATACAAAAACAAAAAACAGCGAAGAATGGTTAAGTTGTCACTAACTCATCCATGTTTTTAAAATCAATTGTTAAAGAGATGTATAAGAATTGTCTATTACTGGTTAGACAGTTGTGGAAGCAATGACGAGTATAATTTTATCAGAATGGCAAAAATACCCACAGGATCAACACCAATCCAAATTCTGATTCCTTCATACCTGTAAGGCTGTGTTACTATTATTGTTTTGCCTTGAACATTTAGTGTTCAAGAAACTGTGCCAGATGATTAAATATGCATATTTTAAAGTCTTTTACTCCAAAAGACCCTAAGAAGGTAGGTTGAAGTATCCCCCTTTTATGTATAGATCTATCTTACCCTCATGTAAGAAACCCTGGTGGCACAGTGCTTAAGCACCCAGACACTAACAGAAAAGTTGGTGGTTCAACAGCCAGCTCTGCCAGAGAAAGATTCATAGCTTTGGAAAGCCTGTGGGGCAGTTTCACTCAGTTCTATAGGGCTGCTATGATCAGAATCAACTCGACGCAATGAGTTTGATTTTAGCTTGGTTGCTGTCTTGTGCTATATAAAACCCAAGCCCTTAACCCCTATTTTATATTGGTTCCAACAATCAACTTTTTGCCTTAAGTTCAACCACCGTCACATTCTGAAATGTATCAAATCATGCAATGCTCATGAAACAATGAAGCAAAAATACTGCTACAAAATCACAGAAACTTTCAAGTGCAAGTATCAAAATGTGAAGCTGCTGTTTCTCAATAGAACCTTCACCTAGGTCTATACATGTCTAAAGATGTGTTTTAATTTCTCCGACTCGTCCCTCTTCAATTCACCCCGCACTTATACAACATTCCATCTCTAGAGTTTGTGTCACATTCTTTGAAAATGTTCTTTGGTGTAGGGAGTTCCGCATTGGACTGCTAACAGCAAAGTCAGAGGTTCAACTCCACCAGTTGTTCAGCTCCTGTAAAGATTTGGTCTTACAAATCCAAAAGGGTAATTCTACTCTGTCCTATAGGGTCATTAGGAGTTGGAATCAACTCAATAGGAATAGAATTTAAGAAAAATAAGTCTGAAGGAGTAAGATCAGGAAAGTAGGGTGGAGAAGGCAATGTTTCCAAATGAGATTCTTGTAGGGCCAGCCCTGGTTATCCTTAAAAACTGAGCAGGCACATAGTTGTGATAGAAAGAATTTCCTCAGTGCAACTTCCCCAGCCTTTTCCTTACCAAATGCGGTTTTCAATCTTCTCAAAATTTCTTCCTAACCAGACCCTCATGATTGGCCTTGGGTCAATTTGAGAACATCCTCTCCAAGATCTTTAGAGAGCTTGGTCACACAAACTTGCCAATGATCTAACATCAAGTTGGGTGCGTGCCTGCACCCAACTAAAACATGCTTCATGGGACTAATCCCAACTCATGGCAACCCCATGCATGTCAGAGAACCGCGCCTCACAGGGTTTTCAGTGACTGGTTTTTGATGCTGTTGTTGTTTAAGCAGAAAGATCACCAGGCTTTCTTTCTGAAATACCTGTGGGTGGGTGGGCTGGAACCTCCAATCTTTCTTAGCAGTACAGTGCATGAACTCAGGGTCTCCAGCCACAGCTAAGAACTCATATTTGAAATAACTGTTGAGAATAACAATTTTTTTAAAAAAGTCCTTTATTTTCACATAAACATATTCTCTGCAGGTCAACATGTTATCTTCCAGGCACTTATCACTTTACTACATTATTTGTTTGACTTGCCAAAGAATGTACACTCTCGGGATGCAGGTCAGCACCCAGCAAACAGGGGTATTCAAGTATCTGCTTAATTTATTAACATATCCTTTGACAAGCACATATGGGCGTACAAAGTTATAAAGGAAACAAGGAAAATCCTTTATACTTCCCAACAACAAAAATGAGTCATATGGTTTCCCAGTTTTGGAGAACCAAACCAAACCCGGATTTTGAAAACGATGAGTGAGATAATACAACTTTAGGTACCAAGAAGTTCTGAAGGCTCTACATCTACCCAGAAACCACGTTAGTTGCAGTTTATGAACTGTTTCTAGGGGCCATATTTTTCATTCTACACCTCAAGGAGTTTTATTTAGCTACTAAAGGGAATCTGGAGTATAAGCATGGAGATCCAGTAGTTCACCCATCTGCCCAGAGTGAGAAGCAAGGGATCGTTCATTACAAAGTCGCTAAAATAGTTCAGACAATGGCTAGGACCGATTTTCCCACTCCCAAGCAAAAGAGGCCCCGAGGAGGGCACCAAACGGTAAACAAAGCCAACGTAGGGCCTCGGGGAGTAGGCCCCAGACAATAGAAGCAACGGTGGAGGCAGGTCTGGGGTTGGGTCAACAGGGGGTGGAGTTTCAGGGAGCACGCCACTAGTCGGTCAGACACTGGGGTAACGGCAGGATTGGCGGGACTCGGCTCCTGAGGTCATCGGAGACCTTGGGCGCACAACGCTGCACGCTTCTACCTTTTAAAAAAAAACAACAACGTGGCCACGCTGGCCACTTACAAGAGCCTCCCGCGC